AATTCAAATCAATTTGGCTTTTGAAACAATTTCAGGTATTTTAAATACTGCTGTAGAACTTCCTTGTTTACAATGTTAATGATTAAGTGACTTTTTTCTAAGTCATCTAAAGCATTAATAAAAATCTCTTTAGCATTTCCTAAATTTTGTTTTGGTTTTTTACTTTGAGCTGCTTCAAGTAATGCAAACCTTGCCTTATGGCTCTATCTTTTACTTAGTCCAGCATGTGTGTTTGTATTGATAACTAAATCAGAAGGCAAATTATACAAGTTTTTTATAATTCCTAGTAAACCATAAATGACTTATGTTCTTTTGGAATCCTAATACAAATAAATAAAATTAATAGAGCAGCAGATTGAATGGCACTGAGTAGAGCAGCCATGAATTTCTTCCAGCTCACTAACTTTTGGAAGCAGCTGCTGCTGTCTACCAGCTAAAATACTTTGATGTTATAACTGACACATGGGTGTCCAGCAGGAATATTATAATATCCAAAGGATCAAGAATCTTCAATACATTTCATGCTGAAAGGGAGTACATTTTAGTTTTACTGGAAAGATGCTTTCCAGGTAATTTCAGCTCTTCTGCCTTGGAATGCTTCAGTGATAGTAGGGGTCTTCTCAGTTTGCTTTAATGACCTTGGGTTTATTAACTCTCACTTTCTTAATAACTCCAGTCCCTTTCACTGTTTCAGAAGTCCTGGCACAATTCTGATGTGTTTTGGTTGCAATTTTTACAGGAAAATACCTAAATCAAAACATTATGGGAGAGGAACTGGGTAAGGAGCAGATGTTTACAGTTTGTGACTTCTGTGGTTGAGGAACAAGCAAACGTATTTCTATAAAAACTCAATGTGCTAAAAGCACATTGTAGTTTTGTGCTTCATCTACTTATGAAGGTATTTCTTTTGTCTTCTTTTGATTTTATTACCTCACCCCAGCTTTATTTATGGACTCCCTTGTTTAGCTGCACTTGGTGATGTTCCCACTGGGGTGCCAGGAGCAGGGGCAGGTCTGGCACAGCTCTGAACTGGCGTTCTCTGTTCCTCAAACCCTCACTGAGCACATCTGCTCCAGCTGGTGCTGCTAGGTCAAGCAACAGGGTGGCCAGATGTGAAGCACTGCAGATGTCTTAGCATTGCAATGTGGTTGGAGTCCAGATGCTGTGCTACAACCTGCCCGTACTGCTGTCACAGTAAAGCAACATCTCTGCTCACAAAACGAGGGATTAAATCAAGGGAACCATGCAGGACAAAAACCAGTGCTGGCCGACTATTGCTAACTGTGTCATTACTGGGTTAGAAGTAGATTAAGATTTTAAATGGACTCTTGTTCTTCGCAACGTATCTGGTGCTAGACAAGTAGGGTACAGCCTGTAGGACAGAGAAGTGAGTATTGTTATTTAGGTATCATCCTGTGGGTTCTCTTGATATTCAAGACTTGTACACCTATTGAAAGTAGGAGGTAGATGCTTTGGATGTGGACATCTGAAGGGAACGAGATAGAAGAGGACAGGGAAGACCAAAGCTTTTTCTTCTTTTAACAGAGAATAGATGAATTTTATTTGGCCACTGCACCTTAATGGATAATCCCTACTCTGAGTCTTAGATGAAAAGAAAAAATCTATAAGGCTAGGGATAATGCAAGAGGATTTTTGCAGACTTTTCTCAGATGTAAAGGAGCTACTGAATAGCACAGCCTTTAGTCATAACTTTTTCTTTGAGCACAGAGCTAATTCATTGATTTAGCCTGGTTGGGTAAATCCATTTTTCCTGGTTTGCACATCCCATGCAGAGAGACATTTTGTGTGTGCCATTTTTCCCTTTCCTCACTTGTCCCCCAGCATATATTTTTCCTGAACCTCTGGCTGACCTGTCCCAGCAGTGCTGTTCATGCCAGCAGCAGGGGCTCCGTGGCACTTGGTGTCACTGACCTCAGTGGGAAATGTTCACAGCAGCAGAGAGCGAAATCTCCTCTAAACCAAAACTGAAATGAATCCTTGTGGAAGACTGCAATGAAAGGAAGCAGATTTCTCTGTGCTCTAGCTCCATGGATTTGGAGTGCTGGAGACCAAGAGTCAAGGTTAACTATAATGTATGCTCCTTCTCTACACAAAAATACCCTCTCTGATGACTAAGCATTGTGGATCTCAGGTTCTTGACCGAACTTGCTTCAAACAGGCTAAATCCTGCACCAGGCAGTGTTTGGTTCAGAGCTCCCAGGAGTTAGAGAGACAGAAGTGTTCAAGCAATACCAAGAAGCAAGAGGATCTTCCAAACAAACAGGGCAGGATGGAGGCATCAAGGGGGAATGCACATTGCAGTTGAAAAAGAAAAAAGTTGTTATTTTGGAGTAGGCTGTTCTTTGAGCCTGCTACTGCAGTTGCTGTCAGCAGGGCTTGCTGCAATAAGCATGTCAGCCTCATGGGATTCCCGAAGTGCCCAGTTAAACTTCACAGCTATAGGAAACAGGCACAGGGATTGCTTCATACGTTGCTAAAATGCACCCATGACCAGTGTGAGTACAGTAACCACTTAGTGCCCCACAGGAACCATCCTTATGGCAGAAAGTGAGAAATGTCTTTGTCACTTGAAGGTGGAGGAGGCAGAATGCAGTTGGGCAAGTGGCATTTGGGTAGGACATGAGGGCTGAGTCCTGGTTACTGCCTTCTTCCCCAAATAAAAATGCTCTGCTAGGAAAATGCTTTGTCTCTTCTGTGCAGCTCTAAGTTTCTTATCTTCTCTTAAAAATGGTTTGTGCTCAGCACAGTGTGCTCCCTGCCACAACCTTTAGTTCATTACTGATTCAGAGAGTCAATGCCAGCTACTGAATCAGAAGGCTGGGACCAAGCTAAAGGTCAGGATAGTGTCTACATACATAAAAGCAAGCATAATCTCTCCTTCCTTCCAAAAGCACTAATATGTGGCCATGTAAAAGTTCAAATCTGTAAATTTTGCAGCTCTCATACCAGAGTTGTGAAGCAAACAGGCAGATGGGAGAAGAGTTTCCCAGCTGGGGAGAATCGCATCAAGAAAGTGATGGATTTAGGAGATAGTGGACACAGGCCACTGTTGTTCTCCAAGGTAGCGAAAAACATGTTTCTGCCAACAGAAGCAGACCGTGCCTGAGAGTGATTTGAAAAGCCAGGCTAACTCCCATAGCTTGCTGGCCTCAAAGATAACACTCTACCCGTGTCCCGTATCCCACTGCAAAGATTTCTTGCTGCTCTTTTTTCCAGCTCATGGTTACTTTCCACAATCTCTGTGCCTGCATCAGCTTTTGAGCTAACTTTGCAATTCTTTTGCCTTTTGTAGTCTGACTTGTGTGATAGAGCCTTGCATCTGTAAGGAAAGACAATCTCTCCTTCAAGACATGCATGGATTTAGAAACGTCTGCTGCATGTTAAATTGAAAGTTTTGGACCCTGTTATTTGGGATTTCTCCATCACTAGAACATTTCAAGGCCTGTCATTAGTGAAGGGACATTAAGTTGACAGGGCCAGTTTCTGTCCCCATGTTTACTCACCTGCATCAGTTATGCTGACCTTAATTTTAATTATAATCCACTGTCACCTGTGCTCCATCAGGCTGTTTCCTCTAAGGTTTTGTTTCATTAGAACTTTATTATAGAGCTAATTTATTATTTGGTTTTGAGCCATCAAATTCAAGGGTGAGCTGTGAATTTTCCTATTAAAAAGGAATAGATCCCGGGACTGTGCTGTGATTCAGCAGATTCTGGCTGTCACCAGATCAGTGCTGTTGAATTAAGTGCCATCCTTGACTTTCTTTTCCTTAGCTGCTCTAACTGTAAAATGGAGACATTGCTGATCTCCCATTTGTGTAACTCTGCTCTGTTTGTCCGGCACTTCAGAGATGCCAAATACAATAAAACTGCCAAGCATCTTTTTGCTAACGGGAATGATGATTTACGCACAAAATGATCATTTCTGTGCTAAAACAAGATCACCTGAAAGATACTGCGGTTGGAACCAAACCAAGGGAGGGGGGAGGAGAAAACCATCTGTTACACAACAGCAAAAACCTTTCAGGGCATTCGCCTGGGAAGCTCTGGGTGACGAGTTTGAAATATGAAGGCTTATTTATATGGATGGAGCTAATTTTCTCTATGTTATTCATTTTTCACTTAGGGAATTACCTAATCTTACAAGAGAGTCTAGGAGGAAAGATTCATTTATTCTTTATTCTCATTCAGCCCGAGGCAAACCTGAGGATGCTCTGCCTCTTTCAGTTCTGCTTTTTGAACTGATTCTATTAATGGAGCGTAAAGATTTTCTTCTTCTGGATAAAAAGGGTTAATGTTTCTCGTTCCCACTCACCCTTCTCCTCCTCTTTCTGGAGAGTTCTTTTTTTGGCACCTCTGGCTGTTTCTATCATCTTCTCCCCCTAATCTGCCACTATCTGAAGAATTCATTACATTTCAAATCAGAGGCCTTGCTGCATACATTAGCAGGTTTTAATAGACTTGCCACGACTCAAAAAGGAGGAAAAAAAGAGAGAAGATTTAAAACTCTTGTCTTGCCGAAAGCAGACAGATTGACTCAAAAATGACTCAGTCAATAAAAGATGAGTTTTGAAAAGGCTTCCCTCTGCTCAAAGGGAGCTCGTATTCCAGAGAATTAGGTTTTTCTAAGCCCACTGTCAGAAATTAATAATACATACAGCATGTAAAATGGATTTAGCCCTCTACAGCCTTATACAAACATATCTTTGACTTGCTAAATGTGACACGACTACCAGGATTTTCCAGCCTTTATCCCAGGAGTTTGTCATCTCTCCAGAATGGTGACCTCAGTGGAATTTTTAAACACATCCAAAAAACTCTACTAAATGAGATTTTCATTAAGAATACGTTTCTGCTTCCTTCAACCCTTTTTCTGCACCGAGCCCTGCTCTGCCAGAGCATTTTTTTATTGTTACTTGCAGTAAAAATTATGCCAAAAGCTGTAGTTTAAACTCTCAAGCCCTTGAGTCCTTTTACTAGGCTCTTAGTGGCCTTCCTTCGAAGAAAGAGGTACTGAGCCTTCTGCATTAGAAATACATCATTTGAGTGCTGTTTTACTTTTTCTGCTGTTGCAAAAAGGCTTACAGGCCATTAAAATATCTCATTCCTAGGGGGGAAAAAAAAAAAAGAAAAGCCCTTCTGACTCTACTATGAGTATTCTTTTGTGATTTGAGGTCTGCCCAGGTGGTCCTGCTCACCTCGCTTAAAGTAATTTGAACATGCAGGTGTGAAGTCACCATTCCTATTTGTTCCTCCACCAAAGCCCCATAGCTGGTAAGAATTAAAAGTTATGCTAATTTTAACCTCCTGGGTGACTTGGCTGGGTGCTTTGTTCAAACTGCTCTTGCTCTGCATTTGAGGAGAACTCTGAGAATCTACAGAAGCTATTGCCTCTAGCAGGTAAGTCTGTAGTCTTCTGGGTGGCTGTGGGCTGGCAGCAGTTGTTTGTCTCTTATTGTTTACTCATTCTCCTAAATTCCATTTTTAATTTTTTTTAAGATTTCAGAATTCTTGATTTAGTCCTTAAATCTCTTCTGCATTCTCTCTCTCTTTCGGAAAATCTTATTCCTATTCCTTGTTAAAAATTACATATTATGAATTACCCTTTAAGGTAACTTTGCAAAGTCACTGCATGTCCTGTGTTCCTAATGAATCTATTTTGTGCCCTGGCTGTATTACCCTGTATACAGGCTTTCTTGTCCTGTCCCTGTGGAAGATACTGTGAGAGTATGGCAGCAGCCTGATGTCTGACTCTGGACTGTATCTCCTATATGATGTAGAGAAACTTTAAAAAATGTTGATGAAGAAATAAACACACTAAAGTCCTCCATTTTGACCCTTATGTGCTATACAAATGTTTCTCAGACTTGAAATAAGCAGAGCTCAGAATTTTTTTAATGTTTATTTATTGTATGAAAGACTGAGCTTAGAGTTGTTGACAATGTGCACCCAAAAAGTGTAGAAATAGTTTTCTTTTCCACCATTGCAAACAAGAAACTTGCCTAGACTTTCTTGTGTCTCTCTGGTTCCAAAGAGGAGGCTCTGAACACAGGTGTGGGTGTTTAGAAGAGCTCCCATCAAGGTAACAAAAAGCATTTTTCACAGGTGAAGGCAATGTGGCTTGTTCAGCCCTAGCAGAAGGATTTCACTTAGAAATTTCTCCCCTTATATCCATGGGCAGATTTTTAGGGTTTTTGTCCTTTTTAAAATATAATTTTGACATGCAACTAGAAATTGCATGTCCTTAGAGGACAGCCAGCTAGAGCATCACTTTTTCCAATAACATTTTCCCTACTGCTGAAGAAATATGGATGACTGGTCCTTCCTGAGCAGGTATGGACCCTGCTTACTCATTTCTGTGCAAGAGCCATGAGTAATTGCTTACTTTAAGTTAGACAGGGCTTCTGCTTGTTGCCTTACTTCACCCATGGGCATCAGCCAAGCAAGAGTTGGTTCTTGGGTCATATTATTAAGATACAACCAGGATTTGTATAGCAAGAGAACACTTGTCTGTCTTGCAGATGATTAGTCCTCAGGGCTTTAAAAGTGTTGGAAGAAGTAAACATACAAGGGCTAGAAATCAGCTAGATTTTTGCAGTTGGAAGGGGTTCTAGAGTCATTCTTTCTCAGGGTCTATTGTTTATACCGTAGCCAGCTCCTTCTCAGGATAAGTCTCTAAAGTTAATGTTCTGTCATGTTGTGTCATAATGAAGAGCTTTTAATTCTCTTCTGAAGATGTGCTTCTAAAGTTGGTACAGAGATGAAGAAATTCGAAAGGAACAAGTTTGACTCTTCCTCTAGTTTTGTGTTTGCTTCCAATTAAGTTAATTTTTTAAAATCTGTTCCATGTTCTCTTGACTTGAAAAAGGAGTTTTCCTGGTGGATATTTTGTTGCTTTAGCTTCCAGCTGCTGTGCTGGGACTTAGCCACCCAGTAATCTCCTCAGGAATAATTGCTGGTGTCTTTTCAGATCATTTTTGTGAAAGGTGACAAACTGCTTGCCAGAGTGAGATGTTAATAACACAGAGATGCCCTGTGTTTGAAAGCTGGTGCAGAAATTACCCCATGCAGTTGTTGGGAAGTCAGAGTTTTAATGGTAAGAAGTAAGGAATGGAGTTGTTCATTTACATATAATTCCAGGTCTTATGTGTCATCTCTTGTGTAAACCGTGCAATTTCCGGCGCGGCAGGGAACGTGTGCTCATAATACAGAGGGACAGGAACGTGAGCTGCCTCCCAGCATGGATCAGGGTTAGAGATGCCATCTACTAAAAAGGAGGGGGTAGGAAAGAAGAAAACATGGTCTGCAGGAGCTATGTGGAGCAAAACCAGGCATGGTTATTTAATGAATCCAAGCTGTCAGACCAGCTCAGGGGAAATTATATATCCTGGTGTCCCCTCGGAGTGGGCATCAGAAAAAAGGGAAGAATCTCTCTCCTTTCCAGGTGTGTCTTGAGCTGAAGTTCCCCTGTGTCTGCCTTGAATCACAGCTGAGACCAGCTGCACATTTTTCTTGTTGCTCTTGCAGACAAAGACAGCTCAGCTGTCCCTTTAGCAGTCAGATACACTAAACTGAGCTGGACATCTTTCTCTATGACACTGAAATGAAACTCTTAAATACTCTTTAAACTGCAGCTGAGGGCTTTCTAGTATGTTTCCAGTGTAGGTTTCACAGCTTTTTGGAAAATGAATGGCACTGGTTTCTGTGTTGTCTTGTGATTTACAGTCAGAGAGTTCCATAAGAACTTGTTCTTCCTTCTTTCTAGGAAGCTAGAAGTCTCTCTTAGTAGCAAGTCAGTCCCAGTGATGAACAACAATTAGACCAGCTGCACATTTTTCTTGTTGCTCTTGCAGACAAAGGCAGCTCAGCTGTCCCTTTAGCAGTCAGATACACTAAACTGAGCTGGACATCTTTCTCTATGACACTGAAATGAAACTCTTAAATACTCTTTAAACTGCAGCTGAGGGCTTTCTAGTATGTTTCCAGTGTAGGTTTCACAGCTTTTTGGAAAATGAATGGCACTGGTTTCTGTGTTGTCTTGTGATTTACAGTCAGAGAGTTCCATAAGAACTTGTTCTTCCTTCTTTCTAGGAAGCTAGAAGTCTCTCTTAGTAGCAAGTCAGTCCCAGTGATGAACTTAACAATTAGAGCCTTAGTGCCCATCTTCCAAAATTTCTAATAAAATTGCATTAATATTTAATACCCAATTATTAAATACTTAAAAATTTAAAACAGAACTGGTTTGGAAGTTAGCACGTGATGAATAATTCAGAATTGGGAAATGAGACTCAGTGCTTGGACTGAGAGAGCTGTTACCTTTCCCATCTCCATGTCCAGGGATGATTTTGGTGGTCCTGCCAGTTTTGGCACAGTTTGTGGGGATTGCTTGGAGACTTCAAGTCTTCACCTCCTGCTCCAGAGCATTAGCACAGGGTTAAGGGAAGTAACCTCCCTATCCATAATGACACTTCAGACTCCATTGATGAAAATACGAGCTCCAGAGGCTGGAAAAATATGATGGAAAGCCTGGTTATCCAGGAGATGGCTCTGTTTCCAAACATCTTTCATGCTCCAGGGAAAAAAAGATAGCTTGTCTTTACATCTGTCACATTCCTAGACCTTTGTTATTTGAAAGCCTGTTTCCCCCTCTTGCTATTCTGCTGCTCCATGCAGAACCAGTGTTTTGTTCAGCTCCGGCATGAAGGATTGTTTTCATAGAGTGGACACTAGAAAATGAAGTAGATAATGAAAAATAAGCCAATAAAAATAGGGCAGAACCTGCAACCCTGTGAGAGGAGCTCCAAGGCGCTCAGAAGAGTGCACAGAGGAAATGTCTGGTGTGATTTTTGAGCAGAGTAGGTGCTGCTGCAGGAGCATGAGGAGCAAAAAGAGGGGTCTGGGGAAGGTTTGGCTCGTTGGCATCCAGAGTGCTCTCAGGCCAAGAGCAGCATGTTTGCAGTGCCAACACTTCAAAACACTATTAAGGCATTAAATGAGACAAAGAGAGGATTGAATAGATGGAGTGAGTTGAGGCTTTTTAGAGCTTTCCTTTGGAACAAAAGCCCTAAAACAAACTCCACAGTTTTCTCTCATTAAAAACACAAATAAGGTGGCATGCTGCAGAGACTTGCCTTTATCTATTGCAGTGCAATTGTGTTTCCATCCCTGCTGACTTGGCTACAACTGTGTGCATGTTTCCCCTGTGCCCCTCCAGCCTGCCTGCTGAGCGCGGCACCCGCGGCTCCATTAGCCTGGGCCATGCAAACACCTGAAATGGCAGGCTGACCTTTCAGCAAAGCTGCCTTACCTAGGGATGGGGGCACTGGGCTTTGTCTCAAATAAGTGATTTCTGGAGCTGGTAATGGTGTTATAATGCCTGTCAAGAAGAAAGGTGGTTCATGGGCAGGAAGGGATTTAGTCCAGTGCAGCAGTGTGAGCTTAGTTACAACCACCCTCCAGAGAGGGAGTCTGCAGGGTCTGCAGCTGGGTCTGAGCATCCCAGAGAAACACTGAAGGATGCCTGTATGGTGCCTTGTCCCATCTCAGACTCTGTCTTAACTTGCTTCTTTGCTAAGCTACTGTAAATCATAGGAATCTTTTTAGGTGTTTTTTAATTCTATATTTAGATCCATCTGTCTGCAAAGCTATGATGTGTTGTGAGTGCAGACTTCACAGTGCAAGGAAGAGATAGACACTATAAGTAACACAGTCTTGGACACTATCTTTCAGTCTAAATGGTATTTCCATGAGTTTCAGCATCAGAATTTGAGCATAGAAGGTTACTGGAGTAAGAACAAAATGGCTGTGCTCCTGGGAAACCTTGCAATCATCTCTTGACAGTGGAGAAGAGCTCCTGTCTGTAGCCTCGGTGAACATTGTTGGATAATAAACTTCAAAGCACTCTCTAATGTATGATTGAATATTGTCCACCCTGCATTGTGAATGACTATAACTCCTGCAAATAATCTTCACTTTGAGAAGGAACAAACAAATATTTCTGGAGCAGTTTTTCTGTGT